AGAGTGGTTAAAGTGGCATGTTTACCTCATCGGGAGGCTTAGCTATGCAGGAGGGACTCATAGGCCTAAAAGGATAAATGCGGGAATGTTACTATTATAAGAAAGAGGTGGATTATGAAAATGATAAAATACATGAAACGACGGCGTATAGTAACAAGTTATGCCACAAAATACATTCTGTGGTAATTAGATTTTTTTTTGTTAATCCGTGTTTATCGAGCATATCTAGCATATAATACTAATAATAAAGAACCAAAAGGTGATAAAGTAGAATAATGCATGAATTTTTACTTACAAAATGTTAGTCTACACCTGTCAATCATACAAAATAATGTAGCGACGACGACCAGACGGCGGGATAGGCATGTGTTTTAATTCTCTAAATTATCCATCAACCGTAGAAGCAGAAGCTACGCCGCCTAGACTGTAATCATTAGATTAAATTTTAAATTTCATCTTTACATTGTAAGCCTAGTATATTTTACTGTAGAATATATTGGAATCCTATAGTTTACTAAGTGAAATGTAGCGTAGCACGACATAGCACATTAGGCCTACAATGTGTATAAACATTGCTGCACATCAGTATAATTACAGTACAGTATAACCGTACACCATTTTCATATCATGATACCATGCTAATACCATACCATTGCATTACTATGCTATACTATACTATACTATACTATACTATACTATACCTTCCATAAAATTTCATTTCATACCACGGTATTATGGCCTCTATTTCATTCATCTTTCTTAATTTTATTATTTTTATAGTTTTGTAAATAGAATTAAAATGCTTTACCTAAATGTTATTAATGTTAGTTTTTACAATCTCATGATGTTTTACTGTTTCTGAATTTCTGCTTATTTAAATGTATCTAATGCATTCTCATGTAAACAGGGGTGGCGCCAATGTGGGGGGGGCGTCGGGAATGCTGCTTCCCCCCCTCCCCGGGGGAAAACATTCCTCGGGGAGAAAAAAAATACATGTAGGCCTATTTTCTACATAATTGTAGACTCTAAAATCGATTAAACAAGCCTTTGAAACCCCAAAATTGGCAAAATTTTCGGGGCCTTCGCCCCCTGGACCACTTTCAAAACATTTTAAGCAACGCTCGACCACGCCCAATTTGCTCTCATCGGGGAAATCTGTCCAAGCGTTGGGGGAATCGGTCCACCGTCGGTGACCTCAGACCACCCGTTGTGCAACTCCTGGTGCAACGACTGCATGTAAGCAATGTTAATGCTGCCAATTGAGATCAAATATGATTGGATTGAATTGAAATGAATTGAATTAGATGGACCCAAGCAGCCTCGTATGCAAAATTGCGCGCATTTAATTTAATAATAATAATAATAATAATAATAATAATAATAATAATAATAATAATAATAATAGTAATAAGGCCTAGTAATAATAATAATAATAATAAAATATAATAATAATAATAATAGTAATAATACTAATAACAGTAATAATAATACTAATAATAATAATAATAGTAATAATAATAATAATAATAATAATAATAATAATAATAATAATAATAATAATAATAATAATAATAATAATAATAATAATAATAAACGGACATTCATAAGACGCTCAAGCTGCATTGACAAGTCTGAGCTAGGCCAAGATGTATATAACCAAACAAAATAATTAAAAATAACTTAAATAAGAAACGCGAATACCACATAAATAGTGATAATTGGCACAGAAAAACCGAAGGTGACCAGTGTCGTGCAATCGAAAGCTCTCTATTTTATTGACAAAAACATATGACTTGTCTAAATATATTATGGTATATATAGGCATATAATAGTTTTTTTGTCAAAGGAAATATGATAGTGTGGGTAGTGTATACGAACATGATGTGCAGGCCTTTAGGAAATGTATACCGAACGTCTCACAATTCAGAATGTGCGTTATGTGGCGTAAAGGAATGTACGCAATATGATTTATCAATTTGTCTAAAGGCATTTCCTCATTAGCAATACGCTGATTTTTATGTCGGAAACATTAACCTGCACTTTTAAAATGGGATAATTTACTAACATGAAATGTAAGACATTTTCTATTTTCATCTGATACAAATGAGTTAGTAAGTTCGTTTATGTAAATATTATGTTACATACAAAATAAATGCGGACTGAGGAAAATCATAAATAGTAGGCAGATAACAGAGCATGGATATTTATTATATTAGTGCAAATTTTGAGTGATATCAATTTCACATTAGTCATAATATATCGACATACCACTGGCATAGACGCAAATTTCAAGATAATTTTATCCCAAAGAGAAAACACCAAAAACACTTACAAATAACACAATATGACACAACCCTGATTAACAGGACTAACCTATTAACACTCCATATTGTGCTTAGCTCCGCCTTGTGCCTGGATACCGAAAAATACGTAGACCGTGTATGGGCGATTCCATTACTTTCTTATTTGCTCACAAGGGTAAGTTCAAGGTAAAAATACAAGTCGAATTTTCGTGACCTTGGTCTTATTCTTGGTCTATTTCTTTTCTTTCCGAAAGTTAATTTTCTCTCTCTTAGATTATTACGTACCATTTCATCATTAAATGTAACGATGATCCATTCCTTATTTTTAAAGTAATCCTGCTAACAGACAGGCAGGGATGAACACATAACCTCGTTTGCGGAGGTAATTATTACTGTTGAAGCATTAAGCGCAGGGCGGTAGGTGTAGTGTTTTGGCCAAAGGCCATAAGCTCGAGAATAAGATTTTCACTGATTTATTATTTACGCTAAGGTCCCAAAAAACGACAGTGAAACAGATGCGTTGTGGGGCACGTGCGTATCATTGGCCCTATTCTGAATGGTGGTCAGTTGTTAAGTTTGATTGACACTTCGGAAAGGTCCATTCTGGTAGGATGTGCTGTAAATAACTTGGAATGGATTTAGTATAGAGCTAGCTCCCAGCCCAAGAGAACCTGGAAATCCTAGCGGAAATTATAGAATGTTAACATGATAGGACTATTTCATTGGCGTTTTGCGTCAGGGGAAATGTTAATGCAAAAGATGTTTGCCCTACCATGTATTATGGTACTGAATGCTCAGTAGGTTTCCAAATGCATGCGAAAAAAAAATCATACATATCATAAATAATAATGACAACAACAACATCAGCAGCAACAAAAACAGCAGTAGCAACAACAACAACAACAACAACAACAACAACAACAATAACAATAATAATAATAATAATAATAATAATAATAATAATAATAGTTATAGAAATATAATAAATTTAATGTTTTTTTTATATATTTTTTAAATAAATTTTCATTGAGCCAACTTTATAATATTATTACTAAAAATCGTTTTCATTCAATAAAGATATAAACATATTAAAACAATTGATAAAAGGAAAACATTTAGAAAACTCCTTAGGATAACATTCTTAAAATAAATAACATGGGGACAAAGCCCAAACCGATAACAAAGGAAGACAGAAGAGGAAAAGAAAAAGAAAAAGAAAGCTGAGATATAGCATTGTGGGCAATGAGAGAAGTCCATATATATAATAGCACAGAACTATAGAAAATTAGTATATAATTATTAATAATAATATTATAACAATTATAAATTCCAACTGAAAATTATTCAATGCAAAATGGAAAAATACAGATTTTATTTTATATAATTTTGATCATAATGTAAACCATTAATTTTAATATTGATGTAGTAAATGTTAATACTTTTTTTAAAATAGTTTTACATTTACATTAGCTGATATTGTTAAAATAATATTTTGTAGGGTTTACCCTATCTTTATTCTTTATACCTGTTTCTTTTTTTATGTTGTTATGTATGTTTTTATTATTTTATTTGTAAACTTTTTATGCACTCCGATGAGTTGCTTTAAATTTGACTTTGACGTTCGAACGTTCGAATCCCGACCAGGATTCAAACCCTGGACTTTCTTCTCTCTATCTATACTTTCCCGGATTCGAATCCTGGTTGGGGCACAAATATTTTCACACTTACAGATTCCTCTTCTTTAACGTTACAATATATATATATA